AAGGGAGCTTGGCATTGGCTGACTGAAGATTAACTATGTCTCCTGGTGGCTTTTAAAAAGTTTCACCTGCTAGCTCAGGAAAAACTGAGATATCTGTTTGTTCAGTACCAGAGGTATGAGTTGCGTTGGCCATATATGTTCCTGACTTCTATGCCTTATAACTAGTGTATTCTAAATTTTTGCCTATTCTTCACACAGACACTTGGTGTTTATGGGTCAGTTGTTTTTAGTTATCGTTTTTACTACACCATCTTAGTAAATGTCTTTGCTTTGAGTTTATTATGTCTACTGGCTGAGTATTAAAGATAAGCTTATCACTGGGAGCATATAAGCTGTATTTTAGTACAGAAGGGGCCTCATCAGTACAAAACTATATCTTCATGTTCTACTTTAAACATATTTAACAAACTGTTACATAATTTCTTTTTTTCCTAATTTATTATTTATTTTTACTCATTCTTTAAAAAGTTTCTGAAATCGAAATTCTCTCCCAGCTCCTCCTCCATCCTCGCAAAGGCAAGCAATGTAACAGTTATATATGTGAAGCTGTGCAAAACATATTTTTCTGTATTAACCATGTTCCCCCCCAAAAGCAAGAAAAATAAGTGCAAAAAAATTATACTTTAATTTGTGCTCAGAGTTCATCTCTGAAGGTCGGTAGTGTTTTTTATTGTGAGTCTTTTGGAAGTGTTTTGGATCACATTGATAAAAGTAGCTAACTCCTTCACAGTTGATCATTGTTACAGTATTGCTATTACACTGTACAGTGTTTTTCTGATTCTGTTCACTTTACTCTGCTCCCAGGTTTTTCTGAAACCAATCTGCTTGTCATTTCTTAAAACACAATAATATTCCATCATAAACATATTCCACAACTTGTTTGGCTATTCCCCAGTTAATGGGCATCTCCTCAGTTTCCAGTTCTTTGCCACCACAAAAAAGAGCTGTTACAAATGTTTTTGATAAATAGATTCTTTTCCAACAGGGAAGTTAGGATGAAGGGAGGGTTTGGGAGAAAGATAATGAACTCAGTTTTGGACTTGCTGAATTTAAGATCTGTATGGGACATCCTTTTTGAGGTGCCCAGCAGGCACAGGCAAGCCTGGAGATCAGCAGGGAGATTAGAAGCTGGATAAGCAGATTTGAGAATCCTTTGCATAGAGAACATAATTGAATCATAGGAGTTGGTCATATCAGACAGAGCCGCAGATGATACTTAATGGTTAGTAGGTGTGACTTGAATAAAATTCAGCAAAAAAAAAGGAGCGGTTGGATAGAAGAAGAGTGAGGAGGGAATAGTGTCACAAAGGTATCAAGGAGAAGAGGGTGATGGTGTTAGAGGCTCCAGAGGGGTCAAAAAGGATGAGCACTGAGAAAAGGCCATTAAGACCATTGGCAGTTTTGGAGAGAGCAGTTTTAGTTGAATGATGAGGTTGGACACCAGACCTTGGAACTTTAAAAAGACTGTGAGAGCAAGAGAGTGGTAGAGGCATCTCTTGTAGATGGCCTTCTCAGTGAGTTCAGCTGTGACAGAGAGGAGAGGTATGGTATCATAACTAGAGGGGGTGGGATGAGTCAAGGGAAGGTTTTTTGAGAAAGGGAGATAATGATAATGTTTGTAGACAGTGAGATACTGAAGGCTAATGAGACAGAAAGGATGAAAGGGCATTGCTTGTGCTAGGTAGAGGAGTTTGCTATGGTAAGGAGTAGGGGCCTCCCTCTTTGTGTGAGATGGGATGAAGGATGAGATAGAGGGAGAAGGCAGCTGAGTGATAGGGGAGAAGAGGGAGCTCCCTGTGGATGTCCTCAATTTTTTTAGTGAAATATGAGTCAGGTTTCTTATTTGAGAAGGTAAGGGAAAGGGAGGTTTAAGAAGGGGTGAAAAAGTTTGAAAACACTTATTGTGAACTGGAAAGTAAATCAACTAGGGGCGTATAAAGAGATCATATTATTGCATTGAGGGCCCAATTGAGATATATAATATAGATTTGTTGTGCACCTAGTCAGCATGCTTTCATGTTTTTCTCCAGCTTTTTTCAGCAGTAACGTGCATAGGAGTGGATTAAAGGCGGTACATGAGAATAATCCAGGGCTGAGAGTTGGGAGGGGAAGACTGGTGAGAGACAAAGGGCAAATAACTCGGGGGAAGAGAACAGGGTAGAGCTGAACTGGTTCACCAAGGGGTCAGGATGGGGAAGGGTGAAGTGTAGGTCGTGCTGACTAATAGCTTCAGAAAGAAGTGAAGGATGCCTCAAATGGTGGAAGGTGACAATGAGGATGAAGAACTAGGTTAGAGATTGCAGCGCAGAGGGAGAGGTAGAAGATAACAAATTATCAGATAAGGGAATTTCAGAGTTCATGAACGTGGAAATTGTGCATTTGTGGGTGATGGCAAGATCGAGGATAGGATCATCTTATCTCTTTGAGGAACTTAATGGGATGGAGATGTGAGTTGAGTAGCTTCTAGTTAGAGTATTTGAAGTATATGTTGAAGTCTCCCTAGTATAAGGGTTGGTGAGGAGAGAAAGACTGTAAGCCAGGCCCTGAATTCAACGGGAAAGGAATAGTGTCTCTGTCTTTGGTAAATAACAGCCACTGGAATCTTGATTGGGTCATGATTCTAGATTGAATGAACCTCAAAGGAAGAGAGAAGTTCCTGAGTGTTGATAGTAGGGTTGATAGCCTGGAAGTGGCAATGTAGAACAAATATTACAACTCCCCCACCATGCCTGAATAGTATCAAAGAATATTAGTGAAAGTTCAGGTAGTGCTGGAAAGGGTGGACCCCGGAAGCCATGTCATCAGGATAGAGCCCCAGGTCTCAGTGGAAGTTAGAAGATGGAAGGAGTGGGAAAAGAAAGACCAATAGAGTAGGCCTTTCAGAAAACTCAATGGGAGGGTAGTTCTAGAGTGAGGAGGTGGGTGAAGGAGGATAGAAATAAAGAAGTGGGCAATGGAGGATAGAGAATAGTGTTTGTCTCGTGATAGGTTCAGAATAGCTGGGAAGGGGGGAGGGTACTACACGAAGTGGGGGTATGTTAGTTGTCAAGGAAATGAATTCAGGTGGGTTATCCATCCCTAGAGGACACAGTGTAGAAGTAGAACAGGCTATCATCATCTCTAGGGAGCTATGTGTACCAGTGGGGCAGAGTACTAGTAGAAGATGAACAGTGCCTTCTTTTGATACGGATATTGGACCTCAGGGTGGAGTCATCTCAGCGCATCAGGCCCTGTGTAGTTGGGAAATAGGATGGTGCTAAGTTTAGGAGATGGTGCAGACAGTGCAATGGAATGGCTTGTCCAGGTAAGAACCATCACTTCCTTCCTGGGTTGGTCAAGTAACTGCAGTTTGAGCTGGATTTTTAGCCAAAAGAAAAACAGTAAGATGGAAAAAACTGGTCACACTTTTGGATCACATGATTTATCCAATGTTGCCCTAGACTCTCTGCAGGATGAATCGTAGAGGTCAAGTTCCTAGACGTAAATTAATAACCTTGTTGATCATAAAGAGTTCACTTAGTGCCTAATGCTTAAGAAGTACTAGTTGACTAAAATTCTTTTGAAAAAGATCCTATTAAAATGACAATCATGATTTAAACATGTACTTTTTAATCCTGCAAATGACACATTTGAAAGAGAAGTAACTCATAATTTCTTCATGGTTGGTGCAATACATATGTAATCAATCATTTGATAAGCAATAATTATGTGGCTCTAACTACTAGATAATCAGCTTTCTTAGTGTTTGGGGGTCCGTGAGTAGAAAACTTTGTATGAGAATCCAGGATTTAAGGAAATTGATCATTTGTTCTCCTCAATAAGAAGTGTATATGTTTCTGTATATGCTTATGTATTCTAAATTGTATTACAGATGCTTTAGAATTGTTGAGGACCTGCGGCTATGTAGGCCAGTCTTGCTCTTCATTCCTCCTACCTTTGTGTTCTTCAGTTGAAGAAACTGAGATCCATAAAGGTTATGTGTTTACCTAGTGTCAGACATTGGCAGACTCAGATTTCAAAACCAGACTCTTTGATTTCAAATCCATTTTCCTTTCTGCTTTGCCACAATACCTGATCATAAATGCCTGGAAAAAAGTGAAAAGTTACATAAACCCCGAAGATGATTGTGTAGAAATTAGGTGTCCTTCCTCTCTTGTCTATGGCATCATTACATTGTCATAGTTGACAGTGTCTGAAGAGTGAATTATACCTTACTCAGTTAATTTTGTCAGTAGTGGAGATCTTAATTCCCAGACTTTAACTCTCTGTAATGACAAGCCATCAGCTGCTGTGATTTTGTAGAGTCATTGGGTTTAAGTCTGGAAAGAACCTCAGACACTATCTTATGCAACATCCTAATTTTTATATTTAAAGAAACTGAAGCCTTGAGAGAGGCTTCTTACCAGTATTAAGGTGCAGAGCTAGAATTTTTACCCAAGCCTTTCAATTCTTATACTTGGCCACTTTTCTCAAAGAAAGTATCCCTAGGGTTTTCACCTTTTGCCATGCAATTGTCATGATGCACAGTACTTCTCTGTGAATTTGGCAATACACTTCATTGTGTTGTGGCTGTGGGAATTCAACATAGAATCTCTAGAAAAGCCATGTTCTTGTGGGTTATTCTCTGACTGCATACAGGGTCTCTGTTTAGTTAACATTGACATATAAAAGTATGTTGCCATAGCAAGGAGAAGTTGGTGACAGCTTTTAGCTGAGCAGATGGAATTTTTTGGCTTCTATTAGGAATTTCATTATATAGATTTATATAGCTATTCAATCTCAATCACATTTAAGCCTGTTAGTAGTCCATATATTTTTGTCTAGATGATTTAAAACTACAAAAGGGAATACACTCTCACATATGTATACACACACATCTATATGTATATATACACACACATACATAACTTTTTCTGAGCTTGATTGCAGAATGTTCTGCAGTTATGTTTTGTTTTTGTACCTTTTTGAAATTCCAGTTTTCCTGATTTGTGTTTATGTAGCTTTAATCCTAGCCCTTTGCAGAGACACACTTTCTGGACAATTGCTATAGGTGGGACCTTCACATGGACCGGCATCTATGGTGTCAACCAGTCCCAAGTGCAGAGATATCTAGCCTGTAAAACCAGGTTCCAGGCAAAACTGTAAGTCCACATGCCATATGTTTGTAATTAGTATTTAAATTGTTTGTCTTTGACTAAGCTCTAAAAGAGGATAACATGTAAGAAATAAGGACAATTTTAATTCATTTAAAAAAAAGTAATTAGGCTAAATAAATTTGTAGTTATAATACCTTTACTTCATTTGTTTCAGTATGTTTTAAATTGCTACTAGATATTCCTATGAGATGATTTGATTCATGAGTGAGCTTAGAATTTCTGTTAGTTATGTGAAAATTCCATTCCTTTCATGTTAATTTTTTCTCATAGTTTCCATTTTTCATCCTTTTGTCCCTTTTTTTTTTGATAATATTCATTGCAGTCTCCATGTGGCTGAAGACCAATATTTGACAGTCATTTCAAACGTACATAAGGACTGTCCTTCAGTAAGTGATCCATGGCCTCCTTGAAGGCGAAGACAATCTTTCCATTTGTATTTTTAAACATATCATGCACTTTTTGGGTACAGCATCAGTTTAATGATACCTTTTTATGCTAAGCTGTATCAGGTGACAGATCTAACACTATAGAATTAGTTGTAGCAGAATTTCGTAGCAATAATGACACTTCCAATAATGACACTTCTGGGCCAATGATGGAAACAGTAGTTAATGTATTGCATATTACAGTTAAGTCTTTTTTTATTTATTGGTGGTGATGACAAAATTAGACTGAATTTGCAAAGCATCCTTACTCAGTAATGGGGTTGGGAGACCTCATTGCTTCTCTGTTGGGATATATTGCCTCTTTTCCTTCTTTCTGCCTTTAAGCAATATGTGTGTGATGAAATCTCTGATTCTCCAGTTAAGCTTGTCAGTTTCTACTACCCACCAGGCTGCTAACATAGAGAATTTGTTGAAGCTTCAATTGCTCTGTTTGAAAGGGCATTTTGTCAAGATATGGGGACAAGTTATATAACTCCTTTTTTGTCTGTTTTCTCATTTGCAAAATGATAGGTCACGAGGAATAATATTGCTTGCAATGTACCCATTTCCTAATATTGTTGTAAAGATCCAATGAACAATGCTTGTTAAACATAAAGACTATTAGGCAACCATTTATTAAGTAAGTAATTTACTCTTTGTTAGGCACTGGGAGATAGACCAAAAAAAGTCCCTGCTTCCAAGGAATTTAGATCTGTTGGATACACAGTGCTGTCATAAATAAGTATATACACAATAGCTATAATTTAGTTAACTACAGTGTCGGAAGGAAGGAGGCCATGAGTAGTTGAAGGGACTAGGAAAGGCATTGTGAATAAGGTGGTCCTTAAATGGAATCTTGAAGGCAGTGAGGGATTCTGTGAGGTACATATGAGGCAGTACATTCCAGGCATGGGGGACAGCCAGTGCAAAGGCCTAGAGGTGGGAGATAGAGTGCTGTGGGAGGAATACAGAGAAGGCCAGTTTGGTTTGATTGTAAAGTACAGGAATGGAAGGAATGAATGGAGGATGTCAGGGATTATTATCTTAAAAAATTTCAAGAAACTATTCTCTCTCTCTCTCTCTCTCTCTCTCTCTTTCTCTCTCTCTGTCTCTCTCTGTCTCTCTCTGTCTCTCTCTCTCTCTGTCTCTCTCTCTTTCTCTCTCTCTCGGCATTTTGGATATTCTCATATGTCCAGCATGTCACCATTGCTGGACTTTTTATTAAGCATTTATCAAGTTCCTACTATGTGTCAGGCACTGTGCTAATTTACAAAGAGGCGAAAGATAGTTCCTGCCCTCAAGGAGCTTACAATCTAGTGGAGGAGATGAGAAGCAAACAAATAGACTCAAAACCTTTCTAGTTTTGTAATGTCTTGTATACTTTTTGTTCCACCAGCATGGCCTTTAAGGAAAGTTACTTCCGTGTTGTTGTATTCAGGCACCAACAGTGTAGAATTTTAGTGTTGTGGTAGCTTTTTTAATGTGTTAGAATAATAGATAGTCAGTATAATATAATATGCTATATCAAATACAATAAAATGTAACCCGTGCATTTTTCATTATCATGAGGAAGGATAGTGAAATTGTATTGTCTATGAATTTGTAGAGTCAATAACAGAATGCCTATACACTAGTTAATTAAGTTGTTTTTAAGTAGGTAGGTCATTCACTGGAAGAGTGATACCAAGCAGATATCTGTATTCTGAAGGTTTAGAGGTCTCCAGACATAAAATAGACCTATTGTTTTTGTCACCAGAATGTCCTAGTTTCTTGTATTTTAAGGATTATTTGTTCATTTGTCTGTTCAAAGCAAATGGAGCATAAACATGGTGTTGTGTTGGTCTTATCTCTGAGGCAATTCAGCAGTGAGGCCCCACCCATGGGAGAAGTTAACAGGGAGGCCCCGCCCCCATTACAAGTCAGCAAAGAGGTCTCCCCTCTCCCCTCCAATGCAAGCCAGCAGCAAGGCCCCGAACCCTGGCACTAAAATCTTGAGACAGCGCAGAAACAGAATCCAACTTCCTTTTTTTTTTTTTAAATACAAGTACAGTCACAAAATAGGCAGAAAAAATGAGCAAAAAAACCCCAAACAAAACCAAAAAAAAGAGCCTAATCTTAGAAAGCTGTTATAAAAAGGGAGGTTCCAGGCACAAACTTATGAGAGGACAACATTGTCAGAATGGCTACATGCAAAGCATCAAAGTAAAATGTAAATTGGTCTCAGAACTCCTGGAAGAGCTCAAAAAGGTTTTTGAAAAACAACTAAAAGAAGTAGAAGAAAAATTGAGAAAAAATGAGAGTAATAAAAGAAAATCATGAGAAAAAGAGTGAACAGGTTGGTAAAGGAAGCACACAAAATGAAAAACAATTTAAAAAATCACAGAAGAAAACAACTTTTTGAAAAAACAGAATTGACCAAATGGTAAAGGAGGTATGAAAATTCACTGACAAAAACAACTCCTTTAAAAGTAGATCATAATGCAATACAATTACATTCAATAAAGGTCATTGGAAAGATAGTTTAAATATTAATTTGAAGCAAAATCTAACTCTAAAGAGTAAGTGGATCAAAGAACAAATCATAGAAACAATAATTTTATTAAGGAGAATGACAGTACTGACACAGCATGCCAAAATTTATGAGAAGAGAGGACCCAGGCACAAACTTATGAGAGGACAACATTGTCAGAATGACCACATGCACAGCATCAAAGTAAAATGTAAATTGGTCTCAGAACTCCTGGAAGAGCTCAAAAAGGTTTTTAAAAAGCAACTAAAAGAAGTAGAAGAAAAATTAAGAAAAAATGAGAGTAATACAAGAAGATCATGAGATTTTCATGAGATAAGCAGTACTTAGGGGAAAATTTGTATCTCTAAATGCTTATATGAATAAACTAGAGAAAAAGCACATATTGGGCATGCAACTAAAAAAAACCCGAGAAAACAAATTAAAATTTCCCAATGAAACACTAAATTGGAAATCCTGAAAATCAAAGGAGATTAATAAAATTGAAACTAAGAAACCCATTAAACTAATAAAACTACAGTCTGATTTTTATGGGAAAAAACCACAACAACAATAGCTAAATCATTGGTTAGTTTGATTAAAAAAAAGGAAAAAGAAAAACAAATTACCAGTATAAAAAATGAAAGGGATGAATTCACCACCAGTAAAGAAGAAATTAAAACCATTATTAGGAGCTAGTTTACGTAACTTTGTACCAAAAAATCTGATTATCTTAAGTGAAATGGATGAATATATACACAATATAAATTGCCTAGATTAATGTAAGAAGAAATAGAATACTTAACCCTGTTTTTAGAAAAAAAAATTGAATAAGCCATCAATGAACTTCCTAAGAAAAAATCCCTGGGCCAGATGGATTCACAAGTGAATTCTATCAAACATTTATAGAACAATTAATCCCAATACATATAAACTATTTGAAAAAATGGGCAAAGAAGGAGTTATACCAAATTTCTTTTATGACATAAATATACTGATACCTAAACTAGGAAGAGCAAAAACAGAGGAAAAAAAAACTGCACACCAATTTCCCTGATGAATATTGATGCAAAAATTTAAATAAAATGCCAGTAATGATATTACAACACTATATCATAAGGATCATACATTATGACCAGGTGAGATTTCTACCAGGAATGCAGGGCTGGTTCAGTATTGGAAAAAAACTGTCAGCATAATTGATCATATCAATAACAAAACAAAAAATCATATCAGTAACAAAAACAACAAATCATATGATTATCTAAATAGATGCCAAAAAAGCCTTTGACGAAATACAGTACCTATTCTTATTAAAAACATTAGTGGGAATAAGAATAAAATGGAGCTTTCCTTAAAATAAGTAATGTCTGTCTAAAAACATCAGCAAAAATAATATGTGATGGAGTTGAGCTAGAAGCCTTCCCAGTGAGATCAGGAGTGAATCAAGGCTGCCTATTATCACCATTCTTATTCAATATTGTACTAGAAGTAAAGAAAAAGAAACTGAAAGAATTAGAATAGGCAATGAGGAAACAAAACTATTATTTGCAGATGATATGATGGTATCCTAGAGAATCCACTAAAAATTAGTTGAAATAATGAACAACTTCATCAAAGTTGCAGAATATAAAATAAACCCACATAAATTATCAGCATTTTTATATATTACCAGCAAAGTCCAGTAGTAAGAGAGAAATTCCATGTAAGTTAACTGTAGATAATTTAAAATGCTTGAGAATCTACCTGTCAAGACAGACCCAGGAACTCTGAACACAATTATAAAAGACTTCTCACACAAAGAAAGTCAGATTTAAACAACTGGAAAAATATTAATTGCTCATGAGTAAGCTCAACCAACATAATAAAAGTGATAATTCTACCTAAATTAATTTACTTATACAGTGCCATACCAATCAAACTACCAAAAATTATTATGTAGAGCTAGAAAAAATAATGAAATTCATCTGGAAGAACGAAAGGTTAAGAACATCAAGGGAATTAATGAAAAAAGAATGCAAAGGAAGGTTGCCTAGCTCTACCAGATCTAAAAC